GGGACTCCACGGGACTCCACGGGACTCCACGGGACTCCACGGGACTCCACGGGACAGGATTTTTCGCAGTATTCGACTCTCACGCATACTCGTCGAGTGTAGCGCGGAACGCACATATACTCAACATCTCGACCCGTAGCTTGGCGCTTGGCTGGTTGGGACGCGCGAAAATTACTAGGACCGATCGTACTCACGCAGATTCGCTGCATGGGAATTCCGTACGCGACACCGACGCGTGCCCCAAAGCTCCGCATCACGTCGACTTCGAGGCAACAATGTACTTAATAGTAATAGATAAGAAGATAAAGTCAAATGGAGCGTCACGAGTGTTCTTCCCTTACCATCAAAAACGACCAGTGTCGGTAAGCGTAGATAAGCCACCACCATCAACTGCCGCATGGTATTACCATCACGAGTACGTGAGCCGTCAACGGCGACTGGTATGTACCGCCATCGCGAGTGCGCGAGCTCCTATCAGAAATTCGTTGCGCCGCCCTTGGGGGCAAAAAACGGTGACAGCTAACGTACGAAACCAGAGGGCAGCACAGGATGCGATCACACGATCCTGCCCGTGAGCAATCTCCTAACTCATCTCTAATAAGGACCGTGATATGGACGGAGCCCAAACTGAGATGAGTTGGGAGATTGCTCATGTGCCTGGCCGCGCGATCGTTCCTGTGCTGCCCCCTGCTGTACGAATGCTGAGTTTAGTATATATTTCAGTTGATTTCAGTGATTACTATGGAAACTTCTGAATTTCTCGGACGTGCTCCGTTCTAACCAAATGTAACCTAACCGACGTGGGAATGAAAGGTTGCATGGGAGTAAAAAATAACTTGTACATGATTTGAAAGTGTCTTTTATAGTTACAAACGTAATTAATATGTTATAATATTACGTGATACATTAAAATGAAGGTCAAGGTCTTAACAAGGAATCCGGATGATTATTTAAGAGAGACTAAGCGAGACATTTTTAAAGGTTAGGTCGTACAATTTATAGCCAGCGGTGATCTGTGTTTATTATTTAAAACAGATGTTTTTAAATTATTCAAGTATTAAAGTAATGTATAGCTAAAATTTAAATGCATCGTTATATTCATTAGTTGTATGATTTTATTTTAGTTCCTAGAAACTACGATCCAGCATTACATCCATTTGAAGCTCCGAGGGAGTACACCAGAGCATTGAATGCAACTAAGTTAGAAAGAGTTTTTGCAAAGCCGTTTATCGGGAATCTAGATGGTCATAAAGACAGTGTGTCTTGTTTGTGCAAGCACCCTGGTCGCTTATCGATACTTCTGAGTGGATCTTTTGATGGAGAAGTCAAGATATGGAATCTGCCACAGAAGACATGCGAACGTTCTATTCTAGCTCATGATGGTGTTATTCGAGGGATTGCATTTGAACCTAAGGGTGAACGCTTTATGACAATCGGAGACGATAAAACGATAAAAACATGGAAGGCTGAAAAGGATCAATTTGAAGAAGATGAACCTATAAATACCATCATAAGCAAGGTATCCATGATTGGAATGTCATTGCTCCTTACACATCTTACATTTTTAATAGGAATAAATAGAAGAATGAATCTTGTTTTGCATTTCTACTTATAGACAGTTCTGTCAGGAATTTCACATCACCGAAAGAAACCCATGTTTGCTACATGTGGAGAAATATGCCAGTTATGGGAGGAAACACGAAATGAGCCAATTCGTACATTTCAATGGGGTGTTGATAGTCTTCATGATGTTAAGTTTAATTTAGTACAAAGTAATTTGTTAGGTAAGAATCAAAATGAAGAGATTATATAATGTATATAATATCATAAACTATTATCAGTTTAATGTTTTACCTTTAAAGTTCAATAATTTCTATATGAATTTATCTGCTTGCTTTTATTTTCCAGCTGCATGTGCCAGTGACCGCGGCATAATATTGTATGACATACGAGAAACAGGGCCACTACGAAAAGTAATTATGAAACTGAGAACTAACAAACTCTCATGGAATCCCATGGAAGCTTATACTTTCACCTGTGCCAATGAAGATTACAAGTAAGCCAATATAATTCTTTGTCGTGTATGTGCTGTAATATATGACAGGGAGGAAAGAACATAACAAAACTAAAATAATGGAAATTGGGACACTACTTTAATAAAAAAGGTAGAATCCTTGACATGAAACTCCCAACACCAATTGGATAACGTTGAAAACGGAGTCTTTCACAAATTGTTTATCAGAGTAGAGATGTTTCCGGGTTTACCACTTTAACAAAGTTCTTTCCTCATATAATACTCAGCCATTCATTACAGTACTATCAAATTTGTTTTTGTTGTAAAAACTTATAAAATATTGTGGTCATTTTAGTTTGTATACCTTTGATACTCGTAAGATAAGAACACCTGTAAATGTCCACATGGATCACGTGGCTGCTGTAACGGATGTAGATTATGCTCCAACTGGAAAGGAATTTGTGTCAGGAAGTTATGACAAATCAATTCGTATATTTGAAGTATACAAAGGTCACTCCAGAGACATTTATCATACAAAACGAATGCAAAGGCTTACAAGTGTTGCATGGTCCCTTGATAACAAATATATATTAAGTGGTAGCGACGAGATGAACATTCGAGTGTGGAAAGCTCGAGCTGCTGAAAAATTAGGAGTGGTAAGCATATTTTTTTGATAGTAATTGAGTTATCGTAGAAGTTTCCTTTTAAATTGTAAAGATTGATTATCTCAAGATACTTAACTTTAAGATACTAAACATTGTAGAGTTTTTGCTGGAGAAGTAATACTGTTAAGGTTACAGTAATTTCTGTTTTCCTTCGTAAGGAGAAGCTCTTAACATTTTCCTAACGTGCTATTTTCTTCTGCTTTCTTGTTAGCTAAGACCTAGAGAAAAAGCAGCACTAAACTACAGCGAAGCATTGAAGGAGAAATTTGCGAGTCATCCACAAGTGAAACGTATTGCACGGCATCGACAGGTTCCAAAGCACATTTATAATGCAAAATCAGAGCTACGTACAATTCGAGAAAAAAGCAAGCGCAAGTATGTTGCAGTTTTACTTATCCTAGATGCATGTATCTAGTGAAACTCGTATATTTACATTTTGCTATTCTTTTTCCAGGGAAGCTAATAGGCGTGCTCATTCCAAAAAGGGATCTGTACCGTTTGTTTCTGAACGTAAGAAGCATTTGATTGCAGAAAAACAATGATGGTTAATAAACAGTACGTATGTAAATGTATGTTGACTATGTAGGAAAAAGTATTTTCCAATTTATTTAGGCCATGAATTTGATCAACCAAATACGCTTTCAGGAACGTACAATTACCTCCTCGCGTCACTAACATTTTGTAACACAAATTGAATGCAATAATAAAAAAAGAACGATTTACTTTCATGAATTTCATACGGCTGCATTTTAAGTTGCACATCAGTAAGCTATATTTTACGACAAGGAGATTACTTCCACAAAACTGTTGTGTTGTATAAATATAACCAAGCAGGACTTTAATTTGTAATAAATAATTTTATTATTTTGAAATTATACAGCGCATCAGTATAGTGATTCTTAAAAAGTTACAAACCTCAAGCAGCGATTAATGTTTTGCTTAGCGTAGCTTACAACATGTTTCATTGCTACTTATCACATTCCAACTGACTTTCTATTTCGGGTGACGATCGATTTTTCAGTACGGCCGTATTATTCCCCGCGCCGGTTGTTCTCTCTATGGTGTCAAAGTGAGAGTCTATCTATCGGTTAATACAAAACTCCAAATAACATCGACATACTGGTTTTGCGCACGGGAACGATGCAATCAATGTAACTTCTTAAAATTATTCTTCGGCGTGTAAAAAGCGACTTGCGCGGTTTCACTTCCGGACTATTCCTCTTGCTTTCCCTTGTATTATATATATATAAACAATGCGCGCAACTTCTGTACAAGACTAGGTTAGTCGAGCGATCGATGTACCATTTGTAACGTCTCCAATTCGTGGTTTGTCCATCGCACGGATATACATTTCATGTATAAGCCATTTTTTTTCCTGCCGCTTTGCCCTAAACCACTCCACCGCCAATGTGTGTTTCTCATCCCTACGAATCCTCTCGGTTAAATGTCCAGTGTCGCGTAATAATAATTAAAATGTATATACATATAAACACATTTACATAGAGCTCGCAACGTACAATCTAGCTGTATGAAACACCAATGGTACAGAAGTATCATCGATGGGGCGCGTTAGTATTTTCAGCGACCTCGCGATTTCAGCTGATTTTCGGGTTGATCAGGTGGAGAACGAATGGGTGGGTATTTAGGAGTCTCTTTTCCACGATGATAAAGAAAAGAACGATAAAGCGTAAACGCACGATCTCAACCACATTTAGTTGTAGGCGCGTGCGATGTAACATTGAGGCATAGTGGCGATACGGACATAATATTAGTTAGTTAAAGATATAATAAGTAAATAGTTGATCATGTAAATTTTACCGTTCACTTGCTCTTTTGTATAAACGATCACGTTTGATCAGTAATGCATGCGTGTCTGGGAGGAAGGATCTCCTTAATATTATATAAAATTTGCTGTTATATCGATCACAGCCATTAGAAAAAATAGTTACTCCGAGGAAATATAGTGAGAAGTACGAGTGAACAATTGTCGGCGATCATCGAAATCGTATTTCTTTACATTTTAATTCAGTGTTTCATTCCTTGCATCGACACGGTGAAACAACGTTACAACGCGCGTATTTTATACCGAAATTTTTCAACAAAAAAAAGAAAAGAAAAAAAACGAATGGAGTGCATAAAATCCACTACATGCATATGTGCGTTTTCCTTCACGTCCGTCATCTCTTCGCTATACTTCTTGGTGATGTTATATTGTCAAAAATTATTGTATTCCATCTGGTTCGATAACAAAAAATATAGAGGGAACATGTTGGTACCATTAAGAATAGAAATACCAGAGCATGAAATCCCTGAAACAATTTCTCGACATGCAGACTCTTATGAGAGCAGATCAGTCGAGCAGTCTATACGTAAGCCATTGGTCTTTCACGTAATCGCGCAAAACTAGGATTCGAATACGCGATCTCTTCGTGTACCTGCGATCGAGACTCCGCGTAAACCACATCCGCTATACGTTGCGCATTTGTTTATGAATTGGACAATTGGTAATCGCAAGAACCTCTGCGCATCCCTGGCTCCTTTCCGAGCCATAAATATCCTGGCCCCACCATAATGATACATCGGCCACTATGATATACCTATGCTACTTTCCTTACGATTAGCGACGACTTACGAGTATATATCACTGTGGCGTTTCATTGTTCGCGAGTCTGTGCTCCGGTTTTCCACTGGGCAAGTAATGTTCTTACGCGTTTGGGATCATTCTCTCGGACACACGATCGTCACGACTTCATAAATTAGAAGTCCGTAGGTGTCCTCGGCCGTATGGGAAGCGAGGCGTTAACAGGCTTCCTGTTACACCTGACCTATGGTTAACATTAGTTAATTCGAGTTTCGTCCGAGTTTCTTTTGCCACGGCTGGTGTCAAGCGTGCCGTAGCCGACTTCTTTCCTTCGCATCGGGGTTTTACATGTGATCCTTTTCTGGCAGTATAATCACACAAATATGAGTTAAGTCGCGAGGCGAGATTGGCTCGTTTCGTTGCGAACATGGTACGATTCGCCGTCCAGGCGAAGTGACTTCGATGCTTAAACGTTAAGATCCGCCATCATCTTCCGGAAGTCTGCCAGGGTGTTGTAATCAGGATCCGAGTCGATGTCTGCGAAGTCCTTGTTGGAGTCGCTCTTGACGAAACTTGGATTATAGCGACTCAGGGACAAGGGACATGGCAGCAATTCCGGCATTACGGAGTGATGCGTTATCAGCGCCGTCAACGTTGTGAACTCCTTCGTGAAACCCTGAAAGTAGAGACCGTCTCGTTATAACATGACCACTTGTTTACAAGTTACCTTATTTTTACACAGAATACGTCTTCGTCAAAGGAATACGTTTCCTCTTCAGCGGAGACACGAAAATCCGTCATGCATATCATCGGTAATTGTTGCTTACGTAATTACAGCAAGAAAATAAACTACAGACGAATTGAGACAGCAAGAGGGTCGGTCCCCGCGAAAAGGATAAAATTCGAAAAGCAAGAAACTTGAGAAAATGGCGCCTCATTGAAATTTATCACGATTCTCCATGTGGTGACTTTTAAAAGTAATTTATATCTCTTATTGGTATTGTATAGGTATTGTAAAAGGAGATTCTAAATGCATATCATTTTAAAGCAATTACGCGAAAAAGAAACATTAATAGAAATAAAAAGATTTTTTTCTTATCGATAAAACTCGGAACTAGCGTTCTTAATTTTGAAAAACGTTCGAGTTAACTGCCGCGAAAAAGCAAACGACATATCGGAGACAGAGGACAGAAAATTCCAATGAAGCTCTGATGTTTTCTTTACCCCCTATTCCGCTGGCGATAACAGAAAAAAAAAGTAAAATTCAATCCCTGCCAATAACACGGACATAACGTGTAAAGTTTATTCAAATTAAAAGTTCCAAACATGTATTCCGGAAAATGGGTACAATTCAATACATATATTTCTTGAAGGACCTGGGAGGAATTGAATTAACCTATAATACATTTTGAATTCCATTCTAGTCATGAAGGCAGAAGATACTTTTGAGCACCGTTGATTTCGTTTAAACATTTGAATACAAATACGCGACTCCTTGCATATATTAAGAATATTTTGCATGACACAGCTTGGGCTGGGATCGATACTGATAGAAACTGCGAGAAAGTTTGATTTCCCCATGGAACGTCTGGCAAAAACTGCATGTATGTTCGTCCCTTGGATTAGCGGAGATTGTGCGACTTCGCGAGTTTTTCCTTGCCTCGGAAAATACGCAATTTTGAGGACGAAGAACTGTCGGGGTCGCCGCGAATTACAGTTGTTCCCGATGTTATTGTTGCATCAAACTCGGGTTAAAAATTTGTACGTCATATAAGCCTCGGGAATACATGCGAAGGTTACGGGGTGTAATACGAGAATTAAAAATAGGAAGATGTTAAGGAAACCAGTCACATTTGACCTTCAAATATGCCCTTATGTCAGTTCTTGTAAAGTTAAATTCCAAACAAACGTTAGACCGAAACTGGGATAAAGCTCGAAAAGCTCAATTCTCAAATACGCAATCGAGCCTCGTTTTATCCCCGAGGTCTTCCCCTTCATCTCTGACCCCGAAAATAGACTTCTGTATACATTATTAACATAAATTGTAATATTTAATTTTAGATACCGAAGAAGCTACTTTTTATGGACGCAATAATGCAATGAACAATCACATTCCCTATAGGTTTTCAATTGCATAACAGAAAAACCAAGACCGCGAGTTAACGGTCTTGATTTTCGCCATCTCACCAGAATGACTGGAAGTAGAAAGATCTTCAGGTTTAATTAGCATAAAATGGGATAACCACGCCGTATTGAGATTTATCAAGATTCAATTAAATCGAAGCGTTTCTACGACTTGTAAGCATCGATGAGAAAAATAGACTCCGAGGTTCTAAGGACAGTGAACTAAATGAGACTGAAATTTCTGTTGGCAAACCGAACGGTAGAAAGGACAGAGAGGACTTAAAGGTTCAACTGAGATGGATAATTTCAACTCGGAGAGTCGCTTGCCCTTTACGGGGTATTAAAACGAATTAATGCACCTACGAAGGTGCGCACAGTGGTCAATTTTCGAGTGCCCGACTGGCTTCGACATTGTCCTTTGAAGCACCCGAGCTACGTGTCAATTGCAGTCCAGCAGTTTACTGTTCAGCGGCCGTAATTTACTTTACCTTGATCTTGTATCCCTTATTGGTACGCATGATGAGATAATGGGCTATTCCGCTCGGTTGGAATTCACGTGGAACCCGAAGAGAGAGAGCGTAACATCCGGGTTTACTGGTGCTCTCCCGCACCATGAAGGCTCCTTCCGGCTCCTGGCTCAGTACTTCCAGCGTTATTTCCCTGGATCATAAATCGTGCCGTAACAGTCAGAAACGTTGCCACCAACGCGTTACTCCGCACAACGAGGAGCATCCTGGGGAACCATCCCGAATTCGAAGTCCTATGAGGACTTTCCTCGACCTCCTCGAGAACCGGATGCCCACCAGAATTCTCCCTCGTTAATGCAGCACGTGCTTCGTGCGGAATCATTAACCCCGCGCGAGTGTCATAGGGTGTTATTAATCCTGGAACTCCGCTTTAACGCCTCGAAGGGAGGATGGGAACCATAAATCCCAATGTAGGATATGCTGATGGATGGAGATGGACGGAACGGCTACGGTTGTACGATGCATCTGCACGTTTTAGACTACTTGGGGTGCACTTGTTATTCAAAGGAGTAGTTAATTACCTAAACGTAATTATGGTGGAGATTCACTGACCTTGGTATACCCGCTTGGAACCATGGAGCTCGGCGAAGTTCGCCCTCCTCGGTGCGGTTGTTCAGACTATCCGTTCTTTCCGGAAGCGGTGGAGGTGTTGGCGTCGAACCGTGCGTACTTCCGTCCGCTGGTACCGAACTACTCGACGTGCTAATCTGGGATCTTCTCTTCGACTTGAACTCCGTCTCTGTCCCCGAATTCGGCGAGTTGTGCTCTATCCTGGAAGGGAAAACGCACGTTATAGTCAATATATTTGGTTCCACTCGGTGCATTGTATTAAGGTGAAGTGAAACCCCCCTCAAATCAATCGATTCGAATACACTTTTTTTCAAGGGTATTAGATAGAACTGTTTGAACATTGACACATGACTCATGATCACCTAGAAATTATACAGTGTATAATGTATTTATTTATTACTTTACAACGTGAACATGGAGGCTATAAGGAAAGTCCTGGCACTAATGAAATATAATTTTTTATTAAACATTTCAAAATTCTTTTGGGAAATCATAGGCGTCACGACCTTCCTTATAGCCTCCATATTCACGTCGCAAAGTTTGGAACGATTCGATATCCTCAGTTCGGAGAAAAGATTTACAAACGAGACCTCTGACGCCACTTGCGCATCCCCTTAAAATCTCGCTATCCATATGTAAGCTCTCGACCCCCAATATTACGCCAACTCTACCCCATCATCTTATCATCCAAATGGAGTTTTACCGCCTTGCCTTGCACCCCCGACGCCGGAAACGATTGTTCCCAAAAATAGGAACAGATTCAAGGCCGTAGGAGGATTCGAGCGACTCGGGGTTACCTGTTGTTCTCGATATTGAAGTTCTTGGCGGTGATGGAGGCGTTGATGGAGTTGTCGAGGCTCTCGGAGGGCGCGATCTTGCCGTAGGGTGGCCTCGTCCCCTCGGAGTCGATGATTGCCTCGTTGATGTAGCCCCCGGAATGTGGCCTGTTGGTCGGGCTCGTAGGAGTGCTGCTTCCACTGACCAGTGGGCAGCTGTCGTCCTCGCCATTGAGCCCGAGGACGTCGCGTCCTCCCGTCAGGCCCATTGCCAGCCGCTTTATCAGCGGCGGCTTATCGGTCAGCCTCTTGTACGAGTTGAGCTCGGTTGGCGAGTTGCTCTCGTCGCTGCTGGGGGTGCTCTGCTGGGAGATGCTCTTTGGCTCGTTTTCGCTCGAGATTGGGCCTAGGACGTTGCTGAAATTGTGCGACGGCCGCAGACCCGGGATCGAGTTGGGGGCCTGGGGAAATGTTATCGAAATGTCACTATTAGACCAGCTGGACTAAAATTCTGCTCGAAATATAGTAGGATACGTCGAGACCAACTGTGACAAATTTTACGTTTTTCTCTCTACAACTGATTGCAATAGCTTTTTATGACCGAAACTTTGTCGGAGTTAAATTAAATGATGGTTCATGTTTTAACCCTCTGTACCTTAATTTCATTTTTAAGCCAATAATCGATATAACGTGAAACTTGTAAATATTAACCTTCTGATATTCAGTATTTATTTAGAAATTCACAATGTTTATCAATTTGTATAAAAAGTGTATATAAAGTAAAAGTGTATATAAATATGTATAAAAAGTTAACGATACCGCCGGCGATAATCAAATAAGATTTAAATAATATCGATATAGGCTTTAAAAGTTCATGAAAGCAATTAGTAAGTCAGCAATTTAATTTTTTGTATCTAATATCTGTGTTACAATTGCTACCGGGGCAAAGGTAGTGAAGTATTCATTTAAAACCAAAAACTATATTTCGATAAGTATGTACAAACACAACAGATTCCTAAGCAGGGGCAGATATTTGTATTGACTTCTTCTCTAATCTTACTCTTTTGTTCAAAGCTTGGAATACTTTCGTACGAATTCTTATCTAGAAATGGTGCTTCTCGAAATGTAGTATTCATTTGTTCGATTTTCATTTGGAGTGCCACTTGGTTCTGGTTTTAATATATATTTGTATTCGAAGTGTTCGAAGTATTGAAACATTCTTAACAGGGTGCGTTAACAGTAAGAGCGTTGATAAGGGACCCTGAAAGAAGGTGCGACTAAAGCTGGGGATTTATAGTAGGGGTCTTAATAGCTATGCATTAGCGATATCGTACACTCTGGTATTTTCATTTTGAATCATTAAACAGAAAATAGCGGTAAATATATGGCCGGAAACCACCCCTTTCAAGAATGCGGCGCCTTTTAGTCGAACAAGTCGTATGGAAGCTAATGGACATTTTTAACACAATTTATTATATCGTGAAACTGTATGTAATGTACGAGTTATGACTTGCGAATGCATTAGTGACTGTCAAGATCTCGATTAACACCAGGTTTACGGACATTTCTTCTATAACTACTTCTACGGACACCCGTCAAATTGACACGTGAACAAAAACCGGCATTTTCTTAAAAAAAATCGATTTATTTAATTTAAAAACAATTTCATTGTACCTTATTAGCATCTAAATTTGCTCATGTGATATTATATAATTGCATAATATTTGTAATATTAACATTACGCGACATTATATTTATTCAGTGCATTCTGTGATTTTTCGCGTGAAATTCGAAATCCATCAAATTGACTGGTTCCGTAAACCTAATGTTAACCACCGTAATCTTTCTCTTCCTGGTTTTACGACAATGCCCTCGTAGTTGTCGTTGGAGTATCCCCGACAATCGATTGATTTAAGGACACCAATTACAATTATTTGCGATCTGTCCAATAATTCAATTTTAACGGCCGCACTATTCTTTTCTATCTCGGATCCGTTGCTGCGGGATTTCCTGGCAAGCATTGATTTATCGTTCACATTCAGCCTTGCGCGAATAATATAATAATTTATGATTTGGGGGGTTGTCGCTGGAAATGTTTTATGATTTAATTGCTCGGTCGGATGACGAATTTAATCGACCGGTTTGAAGATTGGACCAAACTATTGTACGTGCGTAAAGAAGTTGTGCACCGATATTTAATTAAGTTCACTAATTATGTAAATTGATTATTTTAAAATTGAGAATTCAAAGATATATTGGAAGCGTTCGAGTCTTGGATCGCATATGAAGAAAACTGGTCTCCTTCAATGTTGTTTAATTTACGTACTCCTTGCCCGTAATATTACTTATACCATGCATGTCTCAATAACATTCCACGGTTCAATCATGCGAACGGTTTTGTAATAGGCTAGAGGGGAACCTTTATTAATCTAACGGGACCTAGACCTAAAGACCTCTCAGCGATTTATAGTATGCATCAACTGAGAGTCGAACTCACGACTTCCTTCCCAGAATGAGACGCGAATACTGACATGGACAATTCTATTTACAAGTCAAAGTTATATTACGTCCTTGAACATGGGTCCCACTTGATACGATAACGACACGTCGTTACCTTAAGCGTAAAAATGGTAATTCTTGGTATTTAAGGCAAAAAGTGTACAACATATACAGTTTAAATATTTTTAGCCACCTTCGGCTCGGATTCAACATTCTAAGAATTAATGCAACCAGGGTATCTTTCTCACGGCTGAAATCATCTGACAATCAAAGAAACTACAATTCAATAATGATATATATTTTATCCTGCATTACACTATGTTCACATAATATTCATGATAAAAATACACAGATTAAAAGACCAATTTACCAACATCCCATTTAAACCCAATTTCATGTCAGTCGAAAAAATCTACTTATTCATTTAATTTTGCTTGCCTATTAATTGAGTTTACTCTCTGCCGGTCTTCATAAAATCATTATTTTAGAACGGTATCTTTCTGTATCATATTCGTTACATCGAGTTGGACTTAATTCAGCAGAATCATCATTGGAGGGTCGTCGCCCATCCCAATCAATTCGTAGTATAAATTAGTAATTTTTTAACCATTCGAGTCAAGGCTCAAGGAATATATATATAATATAGGAACCGCCCGAAAAGTCAAGAGATACTCCAGTTGTTTTTTTTTCCCGAGAAAACCCGGAAAGGTGGAGCGCACATGGCCTCACCGTAGGTGGTCACTGTCGCCAGAGATCCGGTAATGGCCCGCGACGACGCGACGCTAATGAATACCGCTTAGGAGTGCGGAGAATGAAGACAATTCGATGGGTAGAGAGTACGGTCCGAAATGAGAGAAGGGTTTTTCCAGAGAAAGATTTTCAGGGTAAGAAATTTTCCTGAGCACATTGCTTCGACGAAATACTCTTCGCGGAGCAACAGGCTGCGTTTTATAAGACGGCGAAGCGTTCTACAGAGAGACGGATTTTACAGTCTAGCTAGGATATCGCGGTTTCGACTTTCCCTAGGTGGAGTCTCGATCGACATCGGAGACCCTCGAGAGCAACACCTTCCAGGATGATCTCGGACCAGGAAGTGGGGCAGTTACCTTGACGCTGGCGAGTCGCAGCGTGGGCGAGCCGGCGCTGCCGAGTTGGACGTTCATGTCCGCTGCGGACGAGCCGCTTCCAGGGCGTGAGGTGGGCGACGTCCGACTTTTGAGCCACGAATTCGAGGACGGTGTCCTGCACCCGCCCACTCCTCCGGTGCCGCTGATTGCGTCCCCCTCGGTGAACTGCTTACTCGCCTTATTCTGCCGAGCAAAACGGTCCCGCTTACTGTACCATCGGATTTACTTGTCTGACTATTACCTAAGTGGATCGCAACGCGCTCGCTATGCGCCCCGAGAGGGCCTCTCCGACCCGTGGGAAACCTCCGTTTGGAAATTTCCACCAAACGAGCTTTTCGAAACGACCCCCTTGCTCGGCCGAGGCGAATGGCGTCTCGAAAAACGCGCCCCGGAAGCTCGCCGGTTGGAAAACGAACGCGTTCCGCCCGACTTTTCAGCCGCGCGGGGAGTAATCGCGCGATTCTACCCGATCCAAAACTATTAATTGGGGAACGTTTCGCCAAATAAATGTCTGATTCTCCTGGTCCCCAGGGAAATAGAAACTCCAACCGTGGAGGTCGCGGTTCGGCGCCGGGTTGACAAAATATGAAAAACGGTAAATCTGTGCCCGCAGATAAATATTTAATTGAATTAAGATAAATTTTCTTGGTTTAACCGCAGGATATAGTTATTATATGGGCAACCAAATATTTCGTTGACACGATGAAATTCTTTGGTTAATGACTTTCGGTTGATCGCGTCAAATGTTGTGGTAAATCGCACCAAATACGAGTACTAAGGAAATTTGCTACGTTATCGAAAATATTTGTTTCTTTGTTAAAATATATTCTGAACTTAACTAAAAATAGTTTAACGGGAACACTTCATTTCATCGAAGCGATCGAGTTTGGTCCAGTGAAGTAAAATTCAATTAAATCAATTAAAACGTTTTCTGCTATGAGTCAAATGCAGTTAATTAAACGATTTCTCAGTTCAGTGACTCCAAATTTTTTTCTGCATGTAGGAATAATGAGAAACATGGATATGGAAGAGCCCGAGAGACATATATGAATACGGTCGAAATCGCTCATACCCCATTTTTGAGTAATTATAATTTTCTTGCCGATGAAGAAAATGTATATTTGAAATTGGTAATGATGTCCTTTTATACATAAATCCCCGGCTTGGTGAAGAATAATGAAAATGGATGATCATAGCTTACCCAAGTGGTTCGATGTTCCTGTCTCTCCTTGCGATAAGGTAGTGCTGATTGGGGCGAGATCACCTCCTGGAGAATCGGCTGGCGTTGCAATTGCGCCACGTACGCCATACGAAACGCATTGCCGACGATGGTGTTGAGCTCCTCTGCCTGTAATTAAAATGACCGATCAGTCGTGCAGAAAGTAGGAATTAATTCGTAACTGGTTCTCATCGTGATCATAGACCGACCTAAATCCAACATCTCGCGTCGCGCATCCATCGGATCGATTCTCGAGAGCATGTATTCCGGTTAATAATCTCCAGGACATGGATCAAAGGATCCTATCTCTATGACGCGACGAATTGCCTTCTGAATCGAAAGTGCGGCTTCCTGAATCGTTATCGAACCTAGCCGTTAAACAAAATGAGGTCTTCCTTCGGGAATGGAGGACTCCATTATAAATTGTTTGACAGTCTTTTTTCCAGAAGGAAAGGAAAAGTCATTAATTGAATTTACAGATATACATTTTTCTACGTTACTATTAAATCTGAAATAAAGTCAAAGATAGTAGCACCCTGTAAAATCCGTGACAATATAATACTATAGGGTTGTGTTAATATTAACAGCAGTAGTGTTGAAATTATTCATGAGGAGTATTGAACGTGGCGGGGAATTAAATATTTCCATTGAAACTATCCGACTTGGTAAATTAATTACTATGATAAAATAATATGCAAAAGCAAAAACTTCCTCTTTCATTGAAAGTACCGTGAAGATTCAGCGTTGTTAAACAAATTGCAGTTTTCTCGTTCATGAATTTCCGTGGGTTAAATTTCATGAATAATTGCCCGTGGGTTATAAGTAATGGCTGCAATTAACGCACCGAGGTCCCGGTAGCCGCATTCCATTATTAATCTGTTTTAAAAACCTCGTTTACACTGTTCCTAACCGCGCAGCCTATTAATTATAATTACTGTCTCTGTACGTGCAATCAAGCGCCCGCAATGGTAGCGCCGTTTGTGCATATGACGAACTGGCTCAAATTAGGGTTTCGGATCGGGTCATATTGAAACACTCGTAACCCAGTGCCGATGATGATATCGATCTCTACGCTTGGCTGATTTAGCTTAATCAGCTAACGGATACACAGGTGTGTAGTGATATAGTGCGCTGCTGATATCGAGTCATGCAACGAGAAAGCGCGGTTTGCCAATTGCTTCTTAAAGGTGTAAATGTATCAATGAATTGTGACTCACTCCCGTGTCACGATCGCTGTGACTAAAAAATATCATTTCATAAAGAACAAATTCTAGTGGTAAAAAATTAATAAGATGTTTCGTTTGATGGATAAGTTGGGTATTATACACATGGTTGGGATGTATGTACACATACACTGCTCTTTAAAAAACTGGATCACCTAAAAATAACAAATATACATATTCAATAGCACATGTATTATTTGCCGTAATGAAAGAAGACCATGGCTATAGATCGGTAATTACAAGTGTTTTTTAAACCAAATTCGAATCACCACTTGTTTACATTATCCTAAACAATATACGTTAGTCTCCGATTTGCACGATTTACATTTTTAGGTAGTGCGATTTTTTGCTGAGCAGTGTATAGTATTAGTATTGATTTAGATCACTTATCAAATATGTTCCCTCAGACTATTTACCGTCATTTACTTGAAATCATGTCTGTTAATAAATACTCAATCCTAATCCTTTAGATGCAGATTTGCAGGTTCAATGAGCGTAGTTATACCTTTGACCGGAGTCAATATCCTGAATGACTCTTTGCATCCGATTCTCAGAGCTTAGCATATTTTTGGGTTAACGTGCAACTGGGAAGCCCCGGTCGATTCGTTATGTGATTATCACTTGACCCAGCTTCATGTAATAGGGTCAATTTGTAACTCTCCTCGTATTCATTTGGCTTCTGTGGGTCGTCGGGGGTATAAGGAGATTGCAGCTTGAAAGAAAATGAAAAACAAGAAGAGAAGATTCACGTGCTACTTAATACCGACTTCACCCCAAAGTACTTGCCGGAATGTTAATTCCATAGTTCGATATTCAGAACTCTCTGCGGAGTTTCACACATTTTAGGGTGAACGGAAACCAAAGGTCAGGAAAGTTCGCACATGAAATTGTCAATAAACTATCCCTTACGACAGTATCCCTTATTTGATCCAAAGCCATTGCGGAAGTACATTAGATCCGACCGCCAGTTCACGAAACAAAATTTACTTATGAAATGTACAGTCGCATTGTTCTGTGCGCGACATTCATGTCATTTAAATTATCGCGGCTTTAGAAATGTCAGACAAATTTCCACAAAGGGACTTATTGCTTGCTTGGGCCCATCGGGCCATTTACCAATTTAGCAATTTCCTCATTCCGAAATCCGTTTTGTAAATGTTAGTTTTCTACGATACGGTTATATCGCCCCGTACGCCCAATCGCTAAGGTTTAGGGTTCTTTATCATTTTCTCGGGTTGACCATCCCTATTCTTTACCGTCGTACCTTCTTTAACTTTACCGCTAACACGTGCGCGCAGCGTGAATGCGATTTGCATTTGAAACGGCGAAGCATGGCGTCTCCACATGTTTTCATCAGCAGATTCGCTTCCGTGGTGGAACGTCGTGTCACCGCTTTTTTTCCCGCCATGAAGGAGCTACCAAAGCGGCATTCAAGGAGTTAATTGTTTATGAAACTATTCCCCGAACTAGGTGTATCGAATCGTTTGAAATTTTACCACACGAACTTGGGTGGCCCGAACGAAGGTCTCGTCACTCGTGACATTTCATTCCTTATAAAATATTTCAAAAATGTTTATAAACAAATTGAAAAAGAAATGAAAACCATGGTCGTCAGGATGTTCCTTAGAGCCTCCATATTCACTTAATAAAGATTTGAACAATTCGGTACGCCCAATTTGGAGAGCAGCTTCATATACGATTGATCCCTCGGATGACCCTTTCATATCACTTTAAACGTTCATTCATCTTCTTTTGCAGGGAACGGAGATGTTGCGTGATTGGATCCGTTGCATCGTGGATTCCCCTGCACCAGGAGTTCCTCGGACCACCAGGAAGCAAAGGAGGTCGATGTTCTTGGCCGGGCTCGTGAAAAAGGTCTCTCCCGACCCATAGCGTCGCAATTAAAAGAGGAAAGCGTCAGATCCTGGGGCCGCTCTTTGTTTTCCTCTCATGAACGTGATGAATGAGACTGGCGGGAAAAAAAACGGCTCGGATGAACTGCCTGGAAGCGATTGTCTTAGTTGTGGTGGTGAACTTCGATCAGGGGCCTTAGGCCCGCAAAGTGGGAGTAGCCAGTTGGAACCAAAACGAAATCGGTACGTCGCAGAAAATGCCACCCACGTCGCTCGTTACGTGTCCGGTTTCCATTTTGACCCTCTTTGTCTATTTTGTTTCGGTAGTTGAGTGGACCAATTTCCTCTGAATGGCTTAGTTTACCCCGGGACTCTCATTCCCGTTTTACTTTCAAGTAAAATAGAATCGAAGGGGGAAAATCACGGCGCAAACACCGTCACATCACTCTCTTTCAGTCTACCTATCCAAGCGGAGTAAAAGAGAAATAAAAGCGAGGCGTTTGGTGGAAATTGTTCAATGCAGAGTGCGAGGAACATGAGATGGAATTTAAATAAATGAAGTTGTACGGGTATTTCCTTGTCACTTCATAAATTTCAATGAGATTATTTATGCTACTGACCTCGATCGTATAGAAGTTACCCCTATTTATATTATTTTAAAACTCAATATAAGGTTTCCAATAAGAAGTGCCAAGTCGAATTAAAATTTCGACTCGAAACTCTTGCGATTTTATGGGAATTCAACTAGCTAAACTCGCGGGAATTTTCTACAAACGTTGAAAAATAGGTTGCTGAGTAACTTGGTACCGATCTTCCCCTCTTTGATTATAGAGGCTTATCATAAGACCTCATTGAGCATCTAAGCTGGAGCACGCTTAAGTATGCTTGCGCAAGCTCGCTCATAAACTACAAAAATACGATACGTGAGCTCCTTGCCATCCTCTCCGTCGTTTAAGCGTCCTCTTCCTCCTATAACCGACCCCCTTTGTCTACTTTCTTCCAGCTAGTTCAATTTACAAAGATTTCATCTCTCTTTGGCGAGATTAGAAATCATACCTTGAATTATTGACCTGTACCACAGAAATACCATTTATTGAACGTCAAGTTCGTCAAGAACGTCAAGAACGTCAAAATCGCAAATCCTATCATCATGAGTTTCATATTGAAAACAACATTTATTTCAATAAATAATCAATAAATTCGACATTTAAGTACGATAGAGGATTAATAACAGGTTCGCTTATATGGATTTTACCTAGTGACTAAGTCTCAAGTAGCATTGTAAAAATAAACGCGATATCGTGTGAGTTGGTACCAATTATGTTTACATGTCATTTAGCCGAGTCCGGTAAATGTCCGAATAAGTCAAGCGAGAGGCGAATCGCCAATGAAAATCAACGATCGTGGGCTCGACGAAAATTTCGCAATATGAATATGCTAATGAGCCGCGAACCAGTGTTGAGTTTCCCGTCGAATTAGAAATGCGAAGTGCCGTTCACCCTCCACCGAGTGGGTGTCATTCATCAAAAAGCCAATGATCGAAGTCAAGTACCTCGCATATATCACAATCCATTGACGGTGGGCTGATGAAAATCCCAGTTTGGAATTCAGCAGAAAAAGTTCGCCTTTACCTGCCGTTTTATCATTTCTCAGTCGTCAGGGCACTTCAGAGTTCATAAAAAAATTGTGAAAAATTTCGCACGATCTTTTCGATAATTTCGGTAATGAATGTAACGGTTTAATAATGGCGTGGGCAGGATTTAATATGTATATAATGAATTCAGAAATTTACTAAGACCCACGGCCGGAGGAGAAAAATGTGTCCCACCCTAAAACGGCAAAATTCCGCGAAATATATTTTTCTCCCCCTCCTGTAATATATGCAAATTGCCAAGTATATTCTAAATGAACATTCCACCACTGGACCCCTCCATGCTGGCCGTTTCAGATATTGCGCCCCGAAAAGGACCGTATGTTAATAAAAATTGCGAAAGGTGCACTTGACATTTCTGGGAAATTGCTTTGCAGGCCATTACATGTGGCTGCATTCCGT